TATGCTATAATTGCCTGGCCCCTGGACATTCAGCTTATAGATGTCGCCTGAAGATGTCCTGTCGAAAATGTCACAAACGTCATCACACACTTACGCACCAGTCTACGCCTATGACGTCATCAAACCAACCAGGCAACAAGAAAGAAGAAGATAAAGACATTGAAACTCAGCAAGATTCCGCCAAAACTAACGTTTTACTTTCATCGCATGTCACTGCTACTTCGTCCACTGCAATACTGGCCACAGCCCTCGTGCCTGTAAGAGAACTTGAATCGGGACAAGTGACAGTACTACGTGCTTTGATTGACCACGGCTCCCAAGCTTCCTTCATGAGTGAGAGAGCGGCCCAGATGTTACGATTGAAGAGAACGCCTGTTAATGGCACCATCACTGGAGTCGGCTCAACCAAAACAAATGTGAAACATTCTGCAGAAATCCAATTACTATCAAGACACGACGCTAGTTTCAACTTTACAGTCAAAACGTACATCATATCAACCCGTCTCACTGCCAAGCTACCATCACAAACCATCTCCACCAACACCTGGCCGCATCTCCAAGGACTCTCTCTAGCGGATCCAAGCTTCAATAAATCAGGAAGAATCGATTTATTACTGGGTGTTGATGTGTATGCCCAAATCATTAAGGGTGAAGTTATCAAAGGCCCCCCAGGAACACCATGTGCTCAAAACACCAGCCTGGGATGGATTCTATTTGGGAACGTGGAAACCAAACTACCGGGAGATGATATTATCGTCATGCACCTCAATCTTGATCTGAATGATATGCTGAAACGAATGTGGGAACAAGATCCATATGACAAACCAGAACCCACACCAGAAGAACGAAAGTGCGAAGAATTTTACGAAACCACAACTATGAGAAATAAAGACGGACGTTATATTGTGAGGCTACCCAAGAAAACTAACATGCTATTATCAACTCAAGGAGATACAAGAACAATAGCATTGAAGAGATTATATCAATTAGAGCAAAGATTCAAGAACAATCCAAAATTGAAGAGCGACTATGCTACAGTCATGAAAGATTACGAATTAAACTACATGGAAGAAGTACCAAAACAAGAAATTGCCAATCCATCTGTGTATTTACCACACCACGCCGTAGTTAAAGAAGAGAAAGAAACGACCAAATTAAGAACTGTTTTTAATGCTTCTCAGAGGGGAAGTAACAATGTATCACTGAACGACGAATTGATGGTCGGACCACAGATACAGGATGACATGAGAAGTCTCATCATGAGATGGCGTATGAAGAAAGTTTGTTTCGTAGCTGATATCCAAAAAATGTACCTGCAAGTCATCGTTTAAGGAAGAAGACAGAGATCTGCAACGAATACTGTGGAGATATGATAAACAAGAACCTGTCAAAGACTATCGTCTTACCAGAGTCACGTTCGGGACTGCTTCTGCTCCTTACCTGGCAGTAAGGACCTTGCATCAAGTAGCCATAGATGAAGGACAAAACTATCCCGAAGCTGCAAAAATAATAAGTCGCGACTTTTTTATGGATGACATGATGTCTGGTAAAGACAACGTCACAGATGCAATTAAAGTGGCGAAGGAAATAGACGTCATACTCCAGAAAGGTGGTTTTAAACTGAAGAAATGGTGTTCTAATAATGCTGACTTTCTTAAAGCATTTGAAGAATCTGAAAGAAGCGCACATGTAAACCTAGACATAACATTAGACGGAATCACTCGAGCTTTAGGATTATATTGGAATATGGGCAAGGACCAATTTCAATACAGCCTAAACTTACCTGCTAAATCCAGGACTCTTACGAAGAGAACAATCTTAGCTGATTTGCAGAGATTGTTTGACCCATTAGGCTGGTTGGCGCCTTCTGTTTTGCCAGCAAAGCTGCTTATCCAAAGATTATGGCTGCAAGGAGTAACATGGGATGAAGAAATAGACGAAGACATTGCCACTGAATGGAACAGCTTACGAGAATCGTTTCATCTTCACTTACCTGAGATTGAAATAGATAGATGGCTCCATACTTCTGAAAGTAACATGGACAACATAACTATCCACGGCTTCTGTGACGCGTCGAACCGAGCTTATGCTGCAGTGGCCTATCTAAGGGTCAGAACAGATAGTGGTGAAGTAAGGACATCAATCCTCGCAGCAAAAACGAGGGTAGCACCTACTAAACCCCAGTCCTTACCTCGTCTAGAACTCAGTGGTGCGGTGCTGCTTGCCGGACTCCTGAAGCAAATAAAGGAAGCAATGAATATACCCTCTAGTCAGATATACGCATGGACTGATTCCACTATTGTGCTCTCCTGGCTTTTCGGTGATCCTACGAGATGGAACACGTACGTTAGAAATAGAGTTGTTGCAATACTCGATAACATCGGAAACCATAATTGGTACCATGTCAAGTCACCAGAAAACCCAGCTGACGCTGGTTCCCGAGGACAATCCCTGCTGGACCTTAAAGACGACGAACTGTGGTGGACAGGTCCAAAGTGGTTGAAGGAAGGAGAAATTCAATACAGTAGACCGAAAGCGATGGTGACTGATCTGGAAAGAAAGGAAATAATACAAGTTAATTTAAAACTTAAAAATGAGAACAGCATAACCTCAAGATTTGAAAATTGTGACACTTTACAAGAACTGCTAAGAGTAATCGTGTATTGCAAAAGATTCTTAAAAGGCAGAATAATTGAAAACAAGGACTTACCTGTAGACACGGAGGAATTAGATGACGCGATGAAAACCTGTTTGAGAATGACACAGAAAGACAGCTTCGAAGAAGAAATTGATCACCTGAAAACAAAGAGACCTATTAAAAGACAGAGTAAACTAAACAATTTGAAACCTTACCTGGACGATGATGGAATCCTCAGGGTGGGCGGAAGGCTGCGTCACTCGGACCTAAACGAAGACGGTAAACACCCGATCATTCTTGATCGTGATAACAATCTTACGGCGCTCCTCGTCGCTGACGCTCACCTGAAAACCCTGCACGGTGGAGTTCAACTAACGCTATGCTTCCTGCGAACTAGATTCTGGATCCTGAAAGTAAAGACTTTGGTTAAATCAAAGATAAGAAAATGTCTTATTTGTGCAAAACTAAACGCTACTGCGAGGTCACAACAGATGGGCGACTTACCTCGTGCTCGAGTTACACCTGCAAAACCTTTCTTGAATACCGGCATAGACTTCGCAGGCCCGTATCAGGTTCTGATGTCAAAAGGCAGAGGAGCAAAGACGAACAAGGCATACATCGCCCTCTTTGTCTGTATGTCCACAAAGGCGATTCATCTGGAACTCGTCGGAGATCTCACGTCAGACGCATTCATTGGAGCCTTTCGAAGATTTGTAGCTAGACGTGGAAGATGTGCCCATATATGGAGCGACCAAGGACGCAACTTTGTCGGAGCTAACAAGCTTCTGGCCGGAGACTGGGCAGAAGCAAAACTACAATTCGAAGGTCCAGTCGCTGAGAAATTAGCCTTGGATGGCACGAAGTGGCATTTTATCCCAGCGTATAGCCCACACATGGGTGGATTATGGGAGGCTGGGGTGAAATCGATGAAACATCACCTAAAACGAATCTTAACAAAACACGTGACCTATGAAGAGATGATCACCCTGCTATGCCAAGTGGAGGCTTGCCTCAATTCAAGACCTCTAGGAATAATAGACGACACGAGTACCGACAACGTTCAACCACTAACCCCTGGTCATTTTCTGATCGGTGAAACACCTATTACTGTGCCGACCCCCAACTTGCAAAATATCCCAGTAAGTCATTTGTCACGATGGCATCATCAGCAGAGGTTAATGACTGAGTTCTGGCACAGGTGGCAACAAGAATACCTGTCACGGATGCAGCAACGTTCGAAATGGCACAACAAGGTCAAGGAGTTTGAGATAGGACACATTGTTTTAATAAAGGCAGATAACTTGCCTCCAGCTAAATGGATGATGGGACGAATTGTTGACAAGCATCCGGGCAAAGACGGTGTGACCCGTGTGTATAGTGTGAAAAGTGGTGATAGTGTTGTGCAAAGACCATTTAACAAGTTATGTTATTTACCAATAGACACTGATTGACTATTTTCGAGTTTGTGTTAATTTGCCTCATTATCAAATGTAACTGCTAAATTACTAACGGCATAACCTGTAGTTGTACCTATGTATTATAATATAATTAGATTTGCCTTATTATGATTGCGTTCCGTTAAAGGGCAAATAGGCCCTTTGGTGGGCGGTATGTTGTGTTAGAATCTGTTGTATATGTAGGTATGTTCATTAAGTACGAATGCATGTGTGTGTGTCATCATAAGAATTAAGAATCCATAATGTTAAACCAGTCGTAAATAAATCAGTGCAATGCAACCACGTATTTCTCTCACCTAGAATCCCCGCAAGCAAAAGTGAACTTTATTACTATAACAGTATGTATATAATGTAGGTAACTATATCTCTCACTGACTCATTCTCTTACGAATGCTTTTTTAGATTTTATATGCACGAATATAAATATTACACCACATGCAAAAGTACACTTTAAAAATGTTCAAATGTAAAGTGCAAACTCAAATTCAGAAAGTTTATGTATGTAAGTAAACAAGCTGCTTTATAAGCTTGGCGAATACGTCAAAATATTTTCAAACCGTAAATTTTGACCTCGCAAATAAGTAAACGTACTTTACTTACATGCAAGTTAAAAAAAGATATTTTATCGTTACACAATATTATGTTTCATACAAAAGGTGTTTACTTTTGGAAACATGCCTCCCCTTTCAGAGGGGACGGGGAACAGGGGACGAGGGGGACGGGGCACGGGGACGGTGGACGGGTATTATTATCATCCAACACTTAGTAGAGCGCTCAGGGATCACTTTTATATCACCGAACCCGGTTGCCTCTGAGTGGTAACAGTTCAGTTCAGTTGAAAGCCTGAGTTCCGCAGTGAACGTCTTGTGGCTGATATAGTGGTGATGGTGATGAGTGATACTAACCTGTGCAATGTCCTTGAGCTGCGCGCGCTGCATCTCGAGGTCAGCGACCCGCTTGAGCACGGCGTCCTCGGCGCGCGCGTGCGCCTGCATGCACTCCCACACGCCCGCCAGCTCCGACACTGACGGCGCGCGGGGCGTCGCGTCCGCGTCCGGGGACTTCGTCTGGGTACATTATACTGCATGTTAGGTGATGTCAAAGACTGTCTTCTTGCTACTAAAAGAACTAGACATGATGTAGGCAAAAGGTGTATCTTGCTATAATAGCTTAATAGTCAATTCGTTCATTCGACGCTCTGATTGGCCTGCTCGCATGAATCAACCAATCAGGGCGCACAATACGGTCTCGTTTCGATTTAAAAACAAACAAATTCGTTCTAAGGGTATAGTATGTTTCTAAAAGGTGTTTAAAGTTTCCCATTTTGCTTATATATTCTAAAATACCTTAATTACCTAATTTTATGTACCACTTTTTAACAAATATTTTTCTATAAACAACTTAATCCATATTTACCTCTAGGTCCCTATGTCGCTGGTCCCTGAGTGAGACATCCTCACTGGGTTCACTGCAGCTAGTGGAGCAGACCTCGTGGATGCGCTCCATCTTGCGCGTGCGACGGTGGACCATATCTTCCAAGTACTGGCACTGTACAAGTACATTATATGTATTTATTAAAAAAGGCAAGTAACTTATGTAGGAATTCATATAATGTACTAAATATTATTATTTACAAATGATAATACTTAAAGCTGTTTTAGAGGATTTTTTAATGAATTAAACTTCACAGTAATAAAAAATAAACATAAACAAGAGAATATTTAGTGCTGTGCAAAATTTTAGAAATATATACAAAGTAAGATTATGTACAGAAGTTATATAAAATATACATACACACAGAAATATACAAAGATTATCGATACCAACCTGTTCCTTGACCCTCTCCATCAATTCCGCCGCCTTCGCTTCATCCTGCCCACACTTGACGCAAACAACATCACTATGTTCGACTCTTTCACTCTTTAGCGACTCCAGTTCACCAAGCAACGTCCTCATTTTGCTATCTCTTTCTTCTATAGTATTCTTCATTTCTTCTAGTTGTTCTAATATTTCATTTTCGTGAGTAGTTTTTTGTTCCAATTGGCTTTCTAAGTTAGCGATGATATCTCGAAGTAAGGAGACTTTTTCTTCGGAGGCTTTGAGTTCGTTGTCTGTAGATGTCTTTCGAGTTTCCAGTTCTGATATAATTTGGTTCATCTCTCGCGTTTGTGCTTCTAGTTGTTCCACCTGGTTTGTTAAGGGACAGTGTAAGAAGATTGGTTGTTCGAAAGTTCTATAGAGTTTTGGAATTAATTTATGAGACTAGAATAAGAAGAGGTCTATTTGTTACAGTTACTATTAAAGATTACGAAAGTTGTTAATTATTATTATTAGATAGGAAAGTTCAAGATATTGTTAGACTTAGATAGTAACCTAAAGTGTTTAGCATGCTGTTAAGTGCGTAACATATCAAGTTATTACTACCTACACTACAATACATAGCTCTTTAAACTACTGCTACACAACATATAACACATTCCGTGCCAGATTCAGTAACCAAGAAGTCAAATTATATTATTTTGTTATTAAAATCGACATTGCAAAAGTCGGTTGCAAATCTTGCTAAATGTTTTTTTGGAATAAGCTGGTAAACGAGCAGACGGATCGCCTGATGGTAAGCAATCGGCGTCGCCCATGGTCACCCAAAACACCAGAGGCGTTACAAGTGAGACGTTACAAGCCATTTGGGGATTAGGAATTTGAGGATGGGATTCAGGGATTGGAGAGGCTGTATCATATCCAATAACTAACGTCAAGTTGTAATTTGAAAATTATAAAACGAACAAATTTCTTTGGCTACTGCAGTACATACAAGTGTGTACAGCGTCGTATATTGTAAAAGAGAATGTCATTGTTACGATACGATAACAACCGTCCTAAGCTTGGTTCCTGCCCCTGTCCGCGGTGTACAAGTGGTACTCACGTGCGCGTGGTGCTGGCGACAGTTGCAGTGCGCGAGGCGCAGGCCGTGCATCTGGACACACCGGGGCCGTTACTACCCACCTACCCATACGACTCTATACTCCATTGTTCTTTACAATTCTGGTTGAATAAGCAGTCATCTATTACTTGGCGCGATATGTTTTTGCCACCGTATTATAGATTATTTGTTAATACTCGTATCATGAACATTTAAACAAGGCTTGGTAAGAATATATCGCAAAAATGAAAGGTAAAATTTTTATGCCCTTTATAAAATTTGGTGCTGTATGTCAGTAGCATTTGTCTTTTAGAAGAATGATACTAAATTCTTAATTAGCTAAATTTTCCAAAAGATACTTCATGTATTCAAGGTAACTTATGCGTCGTATGGGTAAGTCAGTAAGATTAGTGTGTAAACATAAACCATTAGTGAGGAAAAGAATTTAATTGGTTATGGAAAATTAGAAAGTATTAGGTGAAGAATCCATTCCCGTGTTAAAGTGCATCTGTGCAAATCATAAAGTAAAACATGTGCCACAATAGAAAAAATATAGTAAAAACAATTAATTTTATCGTGAGACATACTAAATTAACTAAAAATCGCAGCGATTTAGTTAATTTAGTAAAAATTGTTTAGCATTCATAAAAATAAGCTTTTTATTTGTAAATCTTCGTTAAAAAAACTAAACAATATTAAAATGAACAACAGTTTTCTACAAAACATGAGACAAAACAACACAAGCAAATTTCAACAACACAGACAAAAGACTGACTATAAGCTTGGCCAGTGCAGTGCAGTGTTAACCTTACCACAACGACATACAGCGTGTACACCATGGCAAGAAAATGTCAGTTAAGGTAGTGTTGAGTAAATCGAACCTCATTTAAGATCCTGGCGTTGTTCTGCAGGCGGGCCGTGAGGCGGGCGGCGTCGTCCCGGAGGTCCCGCTCGCGGCGCGCCCAGTCGTCCCGCTCGGCCTCCCTCTCCGCCGCCTGCTCCTCCACGAACTGGCGCGTCGAACGAAGCTGGCGGTTCGCTGCCTCAAGCTACATACAGGATAATGTGTATAGTAATAGCACGCGTTAAAAGGCATCAACAAAGGCATTACCTTTGTTTTATTCTATGAAAGAAAGAGCTATGTAAGAATCGTAGCAATTGGCATTCCATAGTCTCTGTCTACCCTCATGGGAGACAGGTGTGAGGTTCTGATGTATGTTTCATTTTAATGTAGTGATAGTACCCAGTCGCGGTTTAATGCTTCATTAAGATTCATGAATAAATTAAGAAATCTAGAAATAAGAACAGGGTGTAATATTCCTTAAGATTGGTCAGCAGACGACCTTCCAACCAGGTTATTTACGCGTGGCGGTTCTGTCATACATTATAATGTAAGGCACTATATCACTCTACATATCGATATAAATTACATTTACAAACATATTTTTAAATAATGTACGAAATGGCATGCAAAGCTGAAGACTACACTTAAGACAATGTTTCGTCATTTAAAACTTAAAAAGCTAAGCCATGCGAAATGACAAAAATAAGTTTTAAAGATACCAAAATCTTTAAAATAATAATTGTTTAAGCGGATACATTACTCTGCTTCTAACATACAAACAATAAAAAAACAATGACAGACAGGCTTTCAGCAGTAACAAAATTACTTAAAATCTATTATAACTTATGACAAATTACATGAACGATTGAACATTTATTTTTCCCTATAAATACAATGATATTATAAGTAATGAATAAATAAAAATAAACAAATAATATACTCTTACAAGAATCCCTCTCCCCGAAGCCTGGACCGAGCGGAATAATATAAAAATGGTGACAATTGTAGCATTAGGTTCAGTCGGTCGTTGCAGTTGGATGGAGTCGGACGAATATCGGTGATATTGTTTATTACTTAAATATTGTGCGTAATTGTTATTGTGTACTTGTTGCTATATCAGCTACTTATAATATTGTTGTATTGGGTTGGTAATACTCATATCAATTGTACTGCTCATGTACCTTTCTATTTATTAATAAATAAGACATCAGTCTATTAGGTTATGCTTCCGTGTGTTTTTTTTTAAATCTTATTTTTTAGTGTTTATAAGAATACATAAAGCGTTCATATCGTGCGTTTACCTTTTCGCAACAAATCTTATGTACGGGTGAATCTGTCATCCTTTTGACCTGCGCGTGCGTCGGTGCAAAATAATTATATATTATTGTAATTGTTACAATATACATATTTGTATAATTAATACATATTAGTGTTAGATATCAGGTGCATAATATAGTGTAATATTATTTTAAGATTGCCAATTTTTGTGATGAATTAAACTAATAAAATTTGGTGATAAAATTCTGTTTCCATCATTAATTGATTTTATACCAGTTAGTATAGTATACAGAAATAATAATACATTATTAGTAAAATTTGTTTTAGAAGTAAGTAAGGTTGCTTTAGCATTGAAGTAGAAGATAGAAGACATTTTAAGTACTGTGCGCTTTTAAGACATTCAGCAAAAGGAATTAAGTGCCACTGGCGGTATTTCCGGGCCGATACAAATTGTAAGACTGTACGTATTCTTAAAAGGCTTGTAACACACTCTAGTGTTGCGAATGTCCAAGAGCGCTGCCAATTGCTTATCATTAGGTAGAACGTCTATTGGTTTACCACCTTTTTTTGAGGGAGTGAACCACTATGGCATGAAATAAATATATATGTAGGTACCTGTTGCACGAGGTCGTCCCGCTCCCGCTGCAGCGAGTCGAGGTCGTGCGCCAGTCGCTGCAGGCGCGGGGAGCTGCTGCCGTCCAGCGACTGGGACGATACTTGCGGACGCGCGCGGCACGGGCCCGAGCCCGGCTGGGGACCCGTGCCGTACCTGTACGGGATATTATGCTTTAGTCATTATAAACTACATAACAAACATAACATCACGCCTTTTATCCCCGAAGAAGTAGGCAGAGGTGCACACAGAAGTAGAACTCACAGAAGTAGAACTCACTTTTCACTATTTATGTTATAAGTACCATGTGGGGGTGAGCCTATTGCCATATACCGGGCACAATTCTAGATTCCGTGCTACTACTGGGATTTGCTTATAAACTCAGTAATACTTTGCCCGACCTAGGAATCCAACCCGAGACCTTGCGACCACTCGGCCAACGAGGTAGTCTTTAGTCATTATGAACTATCAGAACAAAGTTTAATCTTACTAGGTGCCTCTTTATGATTAACATTGACGTTCATGATTTAACCCAATACATGTACGCCGCAGTCACAATGGTTTTAAAATTAGACAAACTCGATTTGTAAAAAGGCGAATGGGTTATACCGATTCAAATCAAAATAATACATTAATAATGTATACTTATACTCGGAATTTTAATTCGATTCCAGATTTGACAATTTCAGTGTTGCAACGTTATGACAAGTACTAAATAGTGACGTTGCGAAATTATTAGATATGGAAATGCAATATTTCTGGATCAATTCTTCTCGTTTATAATTTTAGTCTCATAAACTAAGTATATCAGGAAATTAAATATTTCTGAACCGATAATTAATTTTGATGATTAATTAACGATCTGAGACTTTTCTTTTATAATTGTGTGTGAAATAAATAAAAAAATGTAATCACGAAGGAACATGACAAATAAAACAGATAGATGTAGGTATTATGGTATTATAAATTGTCGCCGTCATCGCTATCGCTATCCTGTCGCTATTATAAAACACACACTGATTGTTTATCGATTTTTGTGTGCATCACTACACTATTATATGTGGTATCATTATTTCACAAAATGACAGTAGCTATTGTCAAATCTGGAATCTAATTAAAATTCTGACTATAGGTGAAATTGTATCAAACAGTTTAAACAATATTGTTTTTTCACTTTACCTTTCAAATGCTGGTATACTGAAAAGTTACTCAATTTTAAGTCGTACTTAAATATCGCGCTGTCTCTGTCATTTTACAAAGAATATGTAGTGACAAAACTATGCTTAAGCGCGACTTAGAATTGAGTAACGTTTCAGTATTCGGACATAAAGGACTAAAAGACATACAAAGACAAATAAGACACTAAAAGACATTCAAGATATTTTCGTCTACTCACCCTTCAGCGATAACGTCCCCGCTGGTCATAAGCTGCGCGATCTTGATCATGGCGGCTTCCAGGTCGGAGCGAAGCAAGTTTTCGCGTTGGAGACACTCTGCCATCGCTTCCTCCATGTTCTATAAGTAAAAAATAAACATTCAGTATTTCCTTACTACAACCAAATTAGTTTATTACATAACATCACGCCTTTTTATCCCCAAAGGGGTAGGCAGAGGTGCACATTATACCACTGTACAATGTAACACCCACTTTTCACTATTTATGTTATGAGTCCCATGTAATAGGGGGTGAGCCTAATGCCATATACCAAATTAGTTTATCTTATTTTACTAATATTGTAAATACGAAAATTTGTGAGTCTGTATGTTTATGTGTTAGTGTGTTTGTGTGTATGTTCGTTACTTAATCCTGTCAAAACGGCTGAAAGGATCAGGTTGAAATTTGGACCAGGAATGGATTATGATCTGAAATAACGCGTGTTACGCCGCAGAAAGAAGCAAATCTTTCATAATATGTGCAAAGTTGCTTCATCATCATCAGCCTATAAATTCCCACTGCTGAGCAAAGCCTCTTCTCACACGGAGAAGGTTAGAGCATTAATCACCACGCTTGCTCAATGCGGGTTGGCGATTTCAAACTTATAATTAGAAATTATAAGCCCAGGTTTCCTCACGATGTTTTTCCTTCACCGTTTGTCAGTGGTGTCTAAATAATTTTAGAAAGTACATATAACTCGGAAAAAGTCACATTGGTACTTGCCGTTGGTAGGTTTCGAACCCGCACCCTCATGCATGAGAAGTGGGCGTCTTAAACCTCCGGGCCACCACGACATCAAAGTTGCTTATTACTATGGATATCAAGAAGGCTGACGCTTGTCTAGTTCCTTCGTTAAACATTTATGTGACTCATAACAGTATCGAGCGAGTTGAGCGTTATGAGGGCCAAGCACGAATATCTATCGCATTCGTATCGTAACAGTATCGAGCGAGTTAAGCGTTCTGATTTATTGGTTCACTTGAGCCGGCCAATCAGAGCGCCGAACGCGCTCGATACTATTACGTTACGAATGCGATAGTTATTCGTGCTTGGCACTCTGATTGGCCGGCACCAATGAACTAACCAATCGGAGCGCCGAAGGCTGGTGTCGTTTCGATCACTTTTAACGTAAAACGACCTCGTACTAATGCCTCTGTAATACATGATTAATTAATATTGAAGTTATTTACCTTTCGATGCAACTCACAGTTGTCACAATTCTGTTTGGTATCAAGTTCCTGAACTAGCTCTGTGATCTGTATACTCGACTCCAGCATGTTACCAGTGTCTCGACGGATTCCTGCACAAATAATTTAAAATTTAAAAGTTAATAGGTTATCAAACATCATTACTTTACAGTTTCTTTTTTTTTATTACCATTTTCTCCTATGTCGTGGGTGCGTTTACAAACATACAAGTTCACATATACAATGACACCCAGACCCGAAACAATAATTTGTGGATCACACAAAGTGTTGTTCCGTGCGGGCATCGAACCCGCGACACGTTGCACGGCAGCCGGTTGCCCAGCCACCGCACCAACCGTGCAGTCGAACCAAAATTATTTAAATATATGCCCCTTAGTATTTGGGGAATAAAAGGTTTGACGTTATGTTACCCATGTTACTTTTCTAAATAAGAGACATATTATTATACTTACTAGGAGCAAGTTTAGCAGATAAATCGAGCAGAGAATGCGCTTCATGTCTCAATCTCCGCAAAGAGCTTTCTAACTCCTTCTTGATATCCGCACTGAGATCACGCTGCTGTTGCAGGAAATTCACTATACCCTCCTGTAAAATGTAAATAAGTATAAAGTAAGTATAGTGAATATGTAACTTAGTATATGAACAAACAATTATTAAGAACTGGATTGACTTAATTGGCGAATCTTATACTATTATATATAAAGCGGAAGAGTTTGTTTTTTTGTTTGTTTGTTTGTTCGAACGCGCTAATCTCCGTAACTACAAGTCTGATTTGAATAATTCTTTTTGTGTTGGGTAGTTGTCCAACAAACAAACTCTTCGACTTTATATCATAGTATAAAAAGTATAAGATATAGGATGTATTAGGGCGACAAACAAGCCGGCGGATTCTCTGATGGTATGCAATCGATACCCGCAGCACGAGAAGAGTTACAAGTGTATTGCTAGCCCTTTATGGTTAGGTATTTGAGGATTGGGGATGAGTGGAAGGGAGAATTGGGATACATGAATGATACAGACCTCATCTAAATCAGTGAGTAAGGCGTTGAGATCAGGCGCAAAGTGCACGTGCTTCCCGCTCCGAGACACCAAGCTCTGGTTCAGTTCGGTGGACAGGTTCGGTGTCGTCGGCCGAGACTCCTCTTCTATGAACGTGCTGGAACAGGACAGAAATAGATTGTTAGGTATTATTCAAAATAGAGAAGGATACTGAACATTGGAGTTTCGTTTTTAGTAGATAGGTAAAAAGAGATGCTGTAAAAACGATAGATTAATCGGAAAAAGCACCTCAACTTTTCGCAAAGGATTCGACAAATAGTTAAGGTATTGTTCGAAACAAAGATTTCAGTTTCATAAGTAACATGTTATATGTAGAAACATTATAAACGTCATATATCCTTGTAGGTAGTAGTTAAGTCTTTGTTCACGTTGAACTAATCTTAAAAGGAATTTCAAGTTTCTTGACGCCTTCGTTTCCAGGAACACTAGGAATACGCATAAATATTAGTTTAATCGTTTTTCTAAGCGCGTGAGTACATGCGCCGCCATATCTCGGCCGTGTAGTCCCGTCACCTCTACCCGCCACCCACGAGTCACTGCACCACTCACGGGGAAAGGGCAACTGCGCTGGCGCATCGCCAGGTACACAGCAGGATCGTGTTTCTTGTACATTTTACACAAGATAAGCAAACGAAAAATAGATTTTAATAAAAACATTCTCCTTAAATAAAGTCCAAAACAAAAACGCCACTTGAACATTTTGAAAGATTTAGTTTTGATTACTCTTTAATTAGGTTTAATAGAATCAAATCATCTATGTTTAATAACACCAAGTACTCTATCCAAGCATGCTAATTGTAGAACTAGGAGAAACAAGCGCATGCCGCGTCGTGTCGACACATAAACTTTGCGATTCTATTTATTACACGCGGAAACATTATTTGGCGTCGTACAAACATAATGTTTAACGATTACATTACGACTAGACGCCACTGCTACCGACGTAAAGCACTTAGATAAAGTATGTGGTACTAAGCGCCTGATGCTTTGATACCACTTGTGTCCTACAAATTTTGTCGCTGTCGAATTACACGTATAAAGGGCTATTTGGCTGAAAGCCAGTGTCTAGTAATGGGGTAAGTTCGCCTGTTCGCGTTCACCCGCCAGTTTACGTCCATGTAACGGAACGCCCTGTAAAAAATCCCGAATATACGCAAACTACCACCATGTTAGTAGTAGTTCGTCCACCTCTGTTTGACCTTACAAGTTTACAGTATCCTACATTCATAGCGATCTGACGTGGTGGACGCGAACAGGTGAATTTACCCTTTTAGTGGTAATTTAATTTGTTGCTATTAGTAACAAAAAGTCGAGTTTAATAATATTTGTTAGTATAGAATTCACGATCAAGAACGATCGCGCTAAATGTACGACCAAAGTTCCAACCAAAAACAATGCTAAGGGTCAATTTTTTAATCATCAGTTAATTCTTAACTGTAGAATAAAATTGACATTTGACTGACAGTTATAAATATGGAAAAAAATTCAAATATTCAAAGTTCTGATAAAATTTAACTGAGCATTGAAATATCGGCCCTAATAATCCAACTTTTCTCTTAGGTAATTCGCGATATCGATGATAAAAATGAATTCAAAATAGCATGTAATAACTGTTATAACATTATTACACGTTAAAGTTAAAGTGTGGTAAGAGAATAAAATAAAACATAAAATTAATAATCCGTTGGTCATCCATGACCTTATTAAAGGAAAACCAGATATACATACTATGCATAGGTATTAAATCATAGCAGCGACAGCTAATACCTTTAATGGAACACGAAGGAGTGCGTCACACATTTAGACGGAATCCCACCCGCCTACAAATTGAACACAGCATCAATATTGGAGTGCAGATAATTTGGCATATTGCCAGCGACATATTACCCTCCTGGAGGTAATAATTTTGTCAATATCTTAACACCTTTGTATTGTAACTTTCGTGAGACATACTAAATATTACACACACACACACTGTCACACCTTGATTATCTTTTTTTTATTTTTGCTGCATCGTGCCTGGTGCTAAATAAAAGTATTTTCTTTCTTTCTTTTTTTCTAAATAAATTCAGACAGTCGCCGCGTCGCGGGTCGCAAAATGCTGCTCATGAATACGAGCCTCTAGCATGGCTTGAAACTAGTCGAGTTCCTCGTCAAATTATTACGTGAGTAAGCCGAAAACATAATAATTTATCTTAACACCTTGAATTACACTTCTATTTTTGTAGGGTTGTGCCGATGTTGAATCATCAGTAGATTTAGGTAAAAGGTGCATGCGGTTACAATCTGGAAAACATTTAAAAAAGTAACTTGTATATTTAAAGCGGTGTTTTAACTGATCTCAATGTATTATTACAATAATAATTATTATTATGTATTTAGCATTACATGTAATATCCAACACAGCATCTAACGGAGCCGAGGAGATTCCCCCCCCCCCCCTTAAAAACAGCATCTACAACTATTTGACATACCATAATAGTCCAAATACCCGATTAATATGTAACTTGTAAGTCTAGTAACCCTATTCGTGTGCCGTAGGAGAGCGTCGCGTGCGCATTCGTAAATTTGGGCGGGCGGTGGCTTTACCGGTATAAATTGTCACTTCCGCCAAACACTCACACTTACCCGACAGATTTACGCAATTTCTTTTTACTTGCAATTAGATCTAGTTTAGAACAGCCAGACTGTAATAATCTCCGTCGAATAGGTTTGTGGTTTTAGTATAAAGTTACCTTTTCATTAAGTAAACATTTTCTACTAGTTTCTGACTAACAATAAGAAACTAGAACAGGCATTAAACGTCTGGGATTTCCGAAATAACCGCAGATACCTACTTGAAAATAGACATTCACGTAAAACGCGAGTGTACATGAAATTCAACATTGGAACATTACTAACATTAAACTTCATAAGACGAAAATCTGACGTCAATGCCAAATCCAAGTTCAATGTGATCCTGGTCGATTTTACAACGATTAATAAAGATGCTTCCGTAATAAACTAACTATTACCGGTTTAACTATGGAATTGTGCCCGGTATATGGCAATAGGGTCACCCCACAAATAGTGAAAAGTGGGTGTTTCATTAAACAGTGGCATTAAGTGCCGTAATGTGCACCTCTTCCTACCCCTTCGGGGATAAAAGGCGTGATTATGTTAAACGAACTAATAAATTCCACGGGGTAGGCAGAAACCAAACTAATTTACTATAAATACATTCTTAATTTTAAAGTATTCTTTCTTACTTAGATACCCAACGACTTTATCTCCGAAGAAATTCAATCCAAATCGATTTTGAAGATCCGATTAACTCGTCGAGTACCGGTTTTATAGACACAATTAAAGAACAATAGGTCGCGGTCACCGGTGACCGCTTGGTGTTTGACAGTTTAAGACTCCACTGAAATTAATTGATTAGAATTAATTTGATTCCTTTTAAGGTTCATGACTAATATTCGTAGTAACCAGCGCCTGAACTAAATACATCACATCACATTGGACGGTGATAGATCAAAGCGGTTTTACACAAACAAAGCACGGTTTTGTTGTGTTAGTGGTGTGGTGCACCTCTCTGCGACGCGACTGATACTTGCTAATCTTGTTTATTCCTAAATAGATCCGACGAGGGTTTACGAGAATCACCGTTGTACACATAGTGTATATGACTTTGTAGTATCGTTTTAAAAGTTATTTTTGGTGCTCGATATTGGGGTGGCGTTTTGGAATAGAACTACACGATGGACGTAAATATAAAGAGTACTTTTACTTGTAATGGTCCGTGTTCAATTATCTTTATATATGTATATAATTCTTCTGTGAGTGTGTATGTCACTGAACTTCTCTCAAACGACTGGAACGATTTTGATGAAAATTTTTGTGTGTATTCAAAGGGATCTGGGATGGTTTAGATTCACAAATCAGCCCGGCAGATGGCGCTGCAGTCGTGTCTAGGTTAGTTATCCTAAACGGCTAAACTAATTTGAAAGAATTTTTGTTTATACATTCAAGTGGATATGCAGGACAACGTCTGACGGGTCCGCTAGTTTCTTATATGTCTACGCAACTAATTGGACATGGGTAATTATTTTGTATAAGTAATTAACTACCAATGTAGGTTATAGTCATATCAAGCCTTTTAATATCTAGTACCTAAGCAGATGTGCACATTTACTATGCGATGCCTAATATTAATTACTTATGTTATGAGTTCTATTTAATAAAGTGAATTTATTGAATTAGATAGTAAATCTAAGTATTAAAGGTAATTGTAATACTTCATATTATTTCGTTTTGTCAAGTTAGGCGTACCAATCAGTGGTTTTTCCTTTTTCCTAAAATATTCAAAGGTAAATAAATCAGTATACTTACTCGTTCTCCCCTGGTATTAACCGAGCGAGTAGCTGTGCCAGTACAGTGCGGTTGAGTTCGTCCTCTGCGCTGGCGCAGTACGCCACGAGCTGACCAACCACGCGGTGCAGGCTCACTGCCACGCGCTTTAGGTCATCCCTGCAAAAACATGATAAGGATAAATTAAGATTGTATATCATAGTTATTTAGAATGATTTTGTATGATGTATTGTATAAAAAAGATGAATAACTGGACTCTGTTAACCAGAAAAGATCCAGTGCACATTTTATTACTTCGTAGTAAATGAAGTTAAAAGTAATTATATGACACAGTACCTATTCAATAGGTGTCATATGATTTTTCTTTTTATATCTGCCCAACATTAAACTTAATTCACTCAAAAGTAATAAAATGTGGGCTGGACCTTTTCTGCTTAACAGGGTCCAATTATATATTGTGGTAATCATAAATAAGAATGTTAGTTGGAGCTTTCAATCAACAATTACAAGTTTTAATAATATCTAATAGTACTGCTCTTAAGTTTCCCATAAATCATTAGATAGTTTCTGGAAGCACTACTGTAAAATCGATTACACATAATCCCACCTATAAATCACTTTCACTTACGACTACGAAATCAATTCCCATTTCAACTTCAAAGTATCCCATATTCGTAAGAAATTACCAAAATAACACTTAAAAGGTGTTTATCCCAAACATTGTGGTAATAAATTAATGTTATATGTGTGTGACTGTTTGTTTGTACCGGCTGGAACGTTTTGATGCGCGGGCGCACGTGATGCAACCCGGAACAACACATGTTACACTTTAACCCAGAATGAGATCCTGTTCTCAGGCTTATAGTACCTACCAGTAGGTTCTCTTGAAATGTATACACATTTCGAAGATTTCAGAAGTACCTATGTCTGTGTGTACATGTTTCAAGTGAAACTGGGCAAAATTGTATGATTGGCAACTTTCAAAAATCAAATACTAACAAGCCTTTTGTTAGAAATTGTATCTGTCCTAACTGAGGAAGTACTAAACTGTAGCTCCTGTACAATATAATGGAATTATTCAATCAAATAAATGAGTTCCTATTTTATACCCACATACAGAATCACGGCTAGGTCTCTTTTGATTGTCCTGCCTATGTGGCTGTCAGGGTCAAGGTTCGCGTGAAATTACATTCCAACCATATACGTTGCCGTTTATTAGCACAACTAGTTATTAGGTACCTTTAAATTATATAATAGGGCTGACGTTTTTCTCTTAAAAAAGGTACCTTGTAGTTAACCAGTCTAAAATAGTACTTATTTAATACTAGGTTTATATAGTATAGACTTACGTTTATTTACTGACATCAATTGTATATTGAAGTATTTATGTTAGTCTGTAAGGTATGTATCTCCATAGATACTTATATAAAAAAACTTTTTTTATATAACATCACGCCTTTTATCCCCGAAGGAGTAGGCAGAGGTTCACAGTACGGTATTTAATGCCACTGTACAATGTAACACCCACTATTCACTATTTATGTTATGAGTCCCATGTAATAGGGGGTGAGCCCATTGCAATATACCGGGCACATTTCTAGACTCCGTGTTACTACTGAGTTTTTACAAACCCATTAATACTTTGCCCGACCCGGGAATCGAACCCGAGACCCCTTGCCCGGCAGTTACATTTGCGACCACTCGGCCAACGAGGCAGTGAAAATAAAGTTTAAATGAATAAATATATTTCCGCCCTCATTTTTGCTGACGGTACTAAAAACTTCACGAATGTCTTTAGTCAGTCTTTAACGTTATAAAGTCTGTTTGGTTGGCTGAACGGAAATAGTGGTTTGATTTTAACGGTACATATTGTATTAGATAGTTTATTTATAGAAGAAGTGCTATATACCATTAAACATCTAGGTACGATCAACAGGAGTTAAGCAACGAGTGAAAAGCGCAAAGAGTAATAAGGGAAGGTCCATTAAGTCACCGAACCGGCGAGACACTTTTTATATAGCCCTATTTAACAGTAAGTGTGGGAGAGCCATGCTTCGGCACGAATGAACCGGCTCGACCGGAGTGATACCACGGCCTCATAGAAAACCGACGTGAACCGTGTTGTGTTTCGTCGTGTGAGTGAGGTTACCGGAGGCCTAATTACCCTCTCCTTCCCCGATCTCCCCAACGATCCTCAAACTCCTAATCCCTAAAGGCCGGTAACGCACTTGTAACACCTCTGGTGTTCCAGGTGTCCATGGGTGACGCCGATTGCTTACCATCAGATTATCCGTCTGCTCGTTTACCGGCTTAGGCCATAAAAAAAAGTAAACGCAATTTGTGTGTAATTGTAGTGTGTGTGACTACTCACCTTTCTCTGGTAACTTCCTCCAGCTGTCTATTCTGGTCGAAGCTGAGGTTACGACGCTGTTTCCACTTGTCTTCGCCGACGGATAACTCGTCGCGAAGACTTGAACACTGTTGACAAAAACATCATTTTTAAGTCTTATGGCTATATAGAGTTTTTAGAAAATCGAAACAAATTCAATTTAAAATGTCGTAGGCTAACATTTTAAGATTGTAATCATATATTTTTTTAACTTCGTTAAGCTACCTCTATAGAAACGAGCTAATATAATTTGCACACGTAAAGAAACAACACCTTCGCAAGTTCAATATACATATAATAATATCTCATTTCTTAAACCCGACGACGGACCAATTCACAAATTGTGTCAATAGTTTCCACTCTAATAACTAAATAGACGTCGAAGAATAGTGAAAACGTACCATAAACTTTCTTAAAATCACCATGATGAAATCACATTGTCAACCACACACCACTATGTCTTTAGTTCATTGAACAATCCAAACTTTGATACCAACACTTTTTTATAAAACCACATTAATTCACACATTATGCACTTGTGTGTATCCGTTGATAATACCAATTTAAATTCGACTATAAACAGTTCGACTTAAGTCTGAAAATTGAAAATCACTTGGAATTTAAAGGAAATAGTTTTATAGAATAATCTTATGCGGAACATTGTGCAATTCCTATGAATTAGTTTCCGTAGTTCCATTGTAGATAGAATATTTGTAAGTAAATATACTTAAAATGATGTTAACGTTAATTGAAACGAGTTTTTACCCAACATCCTTTCATTAATGTTTGAGGTTAATGTCACTGTATGTTAATTTGTTTTCTGTATACCGTCTTTGTTCACAAAAATACGAGTACCGGCCGATTGTTATCATCTTGGAATACATTTGCGATTAGTTATTGAGAAAATATTTATTTGTTCGTGTTAAATTATCGTCATCTCTGTTCCGACTGAAATGATGAAAGTGCAAGTGACTTTACCGAATACCTATCCCAAACAAGATGAATCCTCAAACACGAACTGAGAACATTTACGTCAACATCACTGAATTTCATACACAAACAACCAAATAAATTCCATAACATATTCTTTCATATAGTACACAGTACAGATACAGACTTTGTTTAAAATCACTTAGAACGACAGAATTAGATCACCAAGGTTAAAATTGGGAGCCGACCTCAATAGAAAATAAAATTTATTACATCTTTACGTCATACACCATTTAAATAGAAGAAAAAAGGAGACCACTTACATCACCACGAGTAGGTTACAATCACAAAAATATCATACTACCCTCACAGAACAAATCCAGCTGCGTACAAAAATAACGCAAAGAAAAAAATACAGCCATGTGTGGGCAGACGGATGCACGTGTTCAATAAAACGTCAACACCTCTATTGTAAGGACAATAAGGTTTATATTAGTATGTTATTGTTATAAAGCAGAACAACTGACGATGGTTAGTTGCAGTGTTTGCTTATTGTACGGGATTGATAATGAAGGGAGAACAAACGGGAGAGCTCGTTGTAATGAGGCGGTAATTACATTGTTTAATATTGATGCGATAATTGAAACAAGTGCTGTTACTTCCAAGGAAATAAGTAATTTAGGTAATCATTATTTGGTTCATTTCTAATTGTGTTTTACTCTAAGTAAAAGTCAAAAAGTCAAAGTCGAAAGTCAAAGCATTTATTTCAATTAAACCATAGTCTGGTACTTTTGAAACGTCAACAAATACAAAATAAATAATAGTCTGTCAGTCAGTCCGTCAGTGAAACTAGGTGAAGCTAGGTGCTCATTCCAAAAAGTAGATTCGAATGGAGAAGAACGAGCAAGAAACTCCATTCGTTACTCTTTTAAAAAAAGTATGTTCTACAATGTCTCTGATACATATTTCATACATATTATTGTACGCATATTTAAAAACAATGCAGAGACATGCTTGGGGCATTATACTAATAACTTACTAAAATTAAAAAAAAACATAAAAATCTTGAAGTCCAACATGGTGCTCACATATGCATACTGACAATCCATAGAATTAGTGCTTCTATACAAGAAAAGGAAACTCTTTGTTTCAATAAAGAAATGCTCGATGCCATAAGGAAACTAGATTGTCTACATTACAATTAAAGTGTTAAATTATGTATTAAATTACCTACTATTGGAATTTAGCTACTACATTTGAGTATTGTCCAGTGGAGCCGAACCAACATGCTGCCAAGCATTCTCAAGATAATCTGTCAGTGTGTAGTAAGCTTGATTACATAATTCGCGCTTAATATATGTTTTAAATTTACTTTCATTGAGATCTAGTATCCTATTTGGTATTTTATTATAGCATTTAATACCTAACCCCATAAAGGATTTCTATACTTTGGACAGTCTGAATTGCGGTAAAGCTAACTTATTTTTGCCATACTGAATCTTAATTGTAATGTTTATAATGGATTTCATTAAAATCAGGGTATCGAAATGCTCTAATTAAACTGTCAAGCACCAAGCGGTCACCGGTGACCGCGACCTATTGTTCTTTAATTGTGTCTATAAAACCGGTACTCGACGAGTTAAAGGAAACAAGGATTAGATGTCCTCTGTTTAAATAGAACTACGTAAGTAAAGTTATATGTACTCAGTTAACTCGTCGAGTACCGGTTTTATAGACACAATTAAAGAACAATAGGTCGCGGTCACCGGTGACCGCTTGGTGTTTGACAGTTTAAATAGCGAATAAGACATTAATACTTTGACACAAGTAGATATACTAATGCGATTTTAATACCTGGCCTGAAGATTTTGTAATCAACCTAAACTTAGGAACTGACGATAAGGGGACTATATCACTTATGAAGAGAGGTCTATAGTAAGTAATATTACCCACACGTGCGCCCGGACATCTGGCACAATAACCATCATCTAATGAAAGTACCAACATTAGAATACAAGCATCTGGCGTCGCTAGGGGTACATTAAAATGAAGTTCAACGCTCTTTATTAATTTGACTGCACGATTGGCGCAGTGGCTTGGCAACTGGCTGTCGTGGAAACTGAAACTGGTAGCTGGTGTGTGGTGGTGTTGAGGGGAAGATTCCCGTGTGACACGAAACAACTCTTGGTGGGATCCACAAATTGTTGGTCTGAGTCTGGGTGCAATGTGTCCCACGACACAGAAGAAAACCGTAGTGTGAGAAAACGTTTTTATTTTTAACTAGCTTTTACCCGCGGCTTCGCTCGCGTCACAAACGGATAATAAGTAGCCTATGTGACATATACCAACACACAGCGCTATATCTATACCAATAACTTCGTTTTCCCTCGAGAATATCAAATTTTCCGGGATAAAAAGTACCCTATTATTTAATCCAGACTTGTAACTTTACGTCAGCAAAAATTCAAAGCAATCAGTTTACCTAGTAGTTACGGCGTGAAAGCGGAACAAACAAACAAACTCACTTTCCGATTTATAATATTAGTAAGGATTCTCTCATAAAGTATCGCACGATATAAACACAGCTTCAAGCGCTAGAAACTCGGAGGGATCGATTGTACTGTGTTCAATGGGGCAGGAGAGATTCTATTGTGTCGAAGCTAGGGGGAATTTTTATAGTAAGTAGTAATTGATTTAAATTGTTGTCGCGGTTTTTATTTCCTGCTTTTTATTTTTAGTAAGTGTTTTAATTGGAGAGCTGGTACTGAGTATTGAGTTTTGGTAATGTTTGAAATAACTTCTATAAGTTATTTCTAATGTGAAATGTGAAACGTATGTTCCTGATGATAAACAGATTTTTAAGTACAACAACACTCACTAAAGAAATAAGACTCAAATATGATAAGTGTAATAAGGAATTTGGAAGTCAGGATAGAATAAAAAAAATAATTAACTTGAATATTTATACAAAGCTCTAAAGTGAAAATTATTGTTTTTTATAGATAACTTTACATCGAAAAGCATGTATGCTACTGACGCAAAACATCACCTTCACAAGAAGACAAATAAAGTTCAGTAAACAGCAAGTCATGTCTTCGTGAATGTACGAAATTACGAATCACTAAATAGTGAATTTGGAAAACAAAAAGATTAACTGTTCACATGAAAGACCTTGTAATAACACAAATTACATTCACATTTGCACGCAAAACACGTATATGATATTAATACTTCAAGAAGTGTGTCGATCTAGCAGATGCTTAGTGCTCACATTTGGTACAAATAAAATGTGCAGCCTAACTCGAAAATAGGACGAAACACAAGGGAAATATTTATTTTTAAATATCTAAGTGTAGACAGACTAAAATGGGACCCAGATTCCTAGGATAAACAAATGTTTAGCATACTTGAATAGGGATGAAGCGCGTCCGTAACTAAGTTTTCATCGAACGTTTCTGACGCCCTAGATTTTAACATTGGACTAGATTTTATTATTAAAAGATGATTTTTACCAGTGGTACTATTCTAAGACTTTGTTTAGTCTGTAAATCTGTATTATTATTTCAGTTCACAGTACAAGGTTTTTAGGTGTATGAGTAAAGTATTACATTATTGTCTTAAAAATTATTAAATCTATAAACAATGACTATTAATTCGATAACAATTGAGTTAAAATACCCTAATATCCTTATTTACATACAAAACACGAAACAATTCCACACGAAAACCGCAACCCGATAAATCCATTACACAGCTCTATTTTCAGCAGTTGCAGTTTCCTCGTATAATTCTAAGAAAACTGAACTGCACCTCAAATATATCACATTAGCCTAATCATTCAATGCACAAATTAAAAACGGTCACACTCTAACGGTCAATTACATCTCACATGTCTAAAACAGACACAAATCCAGGCTGAAATCAACCTTATAATGACACAGTTGAGTTTATATTTGTACGCGCGTTTTTCTCCCGCGTAAATGACGTCACTAGAACCGCGTGTGCGCAGGACACGACCGTCACGGAAAGCGTCCGACGCTGTACTGAAAGCACTTGTTTGTTTATATCATTGTGTTTGTTTAATGGCTACGAGATTTAGAATTCGTGTTTGATTGGGCTGTAAAACTGTCAATATTTATCTATTGTGGCGACGCGTGAG